TCCGTCCACACGTTTCAATACTTTAATAACATTGCAATCCTTTGCGTACGAAAAGCCCAGAAATGTGACCAAAATATTGTACACTAATGTAAATGGCATTACCGACAGGTCATTATTGACAATCAATGTGGCCATGCACAATACTGTATTGATCATGGTCAATATCGCAAATGATATGGCAAAGTTGTAGCTATCGCTTATTGTGGCCAATAGGCCCAGTGTTGAGGTTACCATCATTATTGCTATTACAAACCCGAACAGCATGATCAATACTCTCTAAAATAAACATGGCAATTAAATATAAATTAACAAAATTCTATAATAGATTTTTAAAAATTTATTTTAATTTAACAAGGTCATTAATTTAAAATTGTCAAATAAGTAGATAACTAGATAATAAGTTACTACAATGTAATTATAAATATGTAAATTATATTAATTAAATGTAATAATTATTACATAATTAGACTTAGCTAATGAACAGCCCTCGACAATTGTGGCCAATAACATTGCATAGCCAACCATACACAGGGTAAATAGTATCAACTTTTTGACCTTAAACAATTTGTCCTGGCGAATGTCCCAATTAATATCGCTGGCTTCGCACAGAGCTTCAACTACCTTGCAACAAATCATGTCAAACATGCTTTAATTGGTCTTTATAATTTATCATTGTAAACTTTTTATTGTTGACATTAACATTTTCGACACTCATTTGACATTTATTAATTGTTGTTTAATGTATTATCTAATAGTATCATGTAAGATAAAGTAAAATACATGTACTATACATGTACAATACATGTATTATAATGTAAAACATAGGAATATTTATAATACTTGTTGTAAACATATAATACTATGGAAACGAGTGGCAAAAGCATATTATTGTTTTATATTTATGAAATAATTAGTTGTATTTATGATATTGAAAAATTCATCATAATGAAAATATTCTATTCAATTAGCATTGATTATTTGTATTGCATAACAATAGCGTAAATATTAAGACTTATTAAACATGACATGCATCAATAAAATAACAACAAACATTAATAATTTCAGTCATATAAGTTATATTAACAAAACGTAAATTTTATTTGTATTTTTTAAATATAAATTAATTGTTCACTAATCAACTTACATTAATTTTTAAGTAACATTTATAAAAATGAATAAAATAAGTAGATTATACAATAAAACATAATTAAATAAAATACATATTAAATAATTATTATAAAAATTAATTACATAGGCGAAACTATATTTTGCCCATGGTAGGTTGGTGGTATATATGGATCATGGGGAGAGGGTAGGGGCGTTGACAGGGGTGTTAGCGGAAGTTTTGCTTCAGGGTAATTGTGTATGGGCATAGCGTAACTGGGTTGAATGCCATAACCTTGCTGCAAAACATAGGCATCAGTTGTTAACTGTAAGGGTGCCTGTTGTTGACCATGTTGAGAATGAGAAATTAATCTAGGGTATATAACGGTGCTGTCCATCATGGGAAGCGGGCTAGATGGTAAACTGGACATTTTAATTTTGTAACAATCTCGGGAAAATGAATATGACATTCCAGTGATCATGATGTTAACCAGTAGAACGGGGGTGTAATTAAAATCACCCCAAACAGCCCCAGCGCTGGCAATAGTGCCCATGGTCATTAGCACACTAAACGCAATGGCCAGACCAACGTGTTCTTTATAACTGGCAGCTATGCCTATTGCAGGTACGGCGCAAACTGTTGCGCCCACCACTAGTACTAGCAATATAGCCCGACCCTAAATTTTTAAAATTAATTTTAACTAGGTTAATTAGTTTCTAAGAAAAAATTATTTTTATTAACCTTATGTTCATGATGATCATATTCTGCAATTATAATGACCATGTACAATGTGGCGACCGCGTAACAAAATAGGCCTACAAGTGATAATGTAAACAATGTCCATTTTTTGCACTTAAACGAGCTACTATCTCTTATATCCATGGATTGTTCTAGATGTTAAATAAAATATGCTATAAACTACTAATTCATATAATTTACTTTAATTAACTTACCGTGTAATTTTGCATACTTTAACAAATTATTTTTACCTTATTTTACATGTAAGAAAATATAACATTACTTGTAAACGTATGATACTATGGAAACAAATAGTAATATATTGCTTTTTTATTTGTAAATAATTAGCTGTATTTATGAGCGTATTAGAAAAGTTGTATTGACGAAAGCAAAACATGGTAGATATGTAACAACAATTTTGACATTGATTTTTATTGCAAAACAAAAATATATGCAAAAAATCTTAAAACATTATATTTGAATTAGTATAATAAAAGTTAATATAAATACTTTTGGAGTACTAAATAAATGTTTGATGTTTTAATTTTTTAAAAATAATCTGAAAAAATAAAAGCAATAAAATAATAATTTTAAAATTAAACAAACAATTAAATATAATTTAAATTAAAACAATAAAATAAATTAAAAGCTTATTATACGGGCGAAAATTTATTGTCATCATGGTGAACCTGTGGTACACAAGAGCCATTAGGCGAAGGTGTAGAAAAATTGTGCATGGGCATCGCGTAGCCCGGTTGCATTCCGTGACCCTGTTGCATAACATAGGCATCTGTGCTCAATTGCATTGGAACCTGTTGACCAAGTTGACCTTGATAAACTTGCTGACCAATGGCCAACTGGGGGTGAATGTGGGGACCGGTAACCACGGGAATCGGGCCAGATAATCTAGCTAGTTTAATTTTGTGACAATCCATGGCAAACGAGTAGGACAGCCCTGTGATCAACAAGGTAAATATCAGATTAGCCACGTGATCGGTGTTGTACACAACAGCCACAATGCTGGAAATAGCCAGCAGGGTCATTAGTACGCTAAAGGCTATAGCTAGGCCAAAATGATTTTTAATTGTGGCCACTATGCCTATGGACGGCACTACTAGTATGGATATACCAATCACAATTAGCAGTACTATTACCAGGGCCTAAAATTAATAAATAATACTAGTTAGTAAAAATAATATAGTTTTACGAGACTTACCTTTGAGTCAATAGGCAATATGGCAAATATCGCAATTAATATGACTATGTAAATCACGGACACAATGTAGCCGATAATACACAGTGAAAATAGAGTCCATTTTTTGCACATAAACAAGGCACTACGTTCCAAATCCATGATCTTGATTTATGAAGCTAGGATAAATTTGTGTAAATTTTAAAAATTACTTATATTTTTGTTTATAATCAATTTTTATATATATATTGTTTAGATTATTTAATTATAATTACCTTTAAGATTAATTTATTAACACAAAACTTATTGATAGAGCAGCAGTTTATAGTGTTTCATCAAGTTGTTTTACATTTAATACGATACTTGATGTCATACTTATACTTTACATTAAATAATAAAAATAAGATTATTACAAACAGTTTTGTATGATTTATACAACAATAATACTATGGAAACAGAATTCTCGGCTGGATTTGTGTGAATATTTAATTACGTCCACATTATTGCATCTAGAAAGTAAAATAAATAATTAATATTAAATATTGTATGTAACTTTTCATATATTATAATAAGACCTGCGATATCACCTATGACATTTTTAACCTTCATGAGTACATTAGGTAGCATTTGTATAGTTTAATAAATGATGGCAAAAATTATATAAATATTATGTTATTATACTACTAAAAGATTTAGTATCGTTTTAATTAGCTTTCAAACTTTTAGATTTATAGATAAAGTACTTAATTTATGCAAGATTCATTTAATAATATAAATTACTTTATGTATATAAAGTACAGTACAATTAGAAATCTATAAGTATTAAAGTTTATATTGATATGAAAATGTTTCATGTTATAAACAAAGATAACATGTAATGTTATATGCTTTATAATAATTTATTTTATAATTTTTAAAAGTACGATGCCCGCCCCTAATGCTAAACTGGCCCCGCTGGCCTGGTCACCATTTAATTAAATATGAATTTTTTGCAATGAGATGTCCTTAAATAGAATTGAAGACAAATCACATCACAAATAACGTTTATAGCATAAATAACGTACAAAAAATGTAATACATGTTTTATTTTTTAAATAACTTTTTTATCTGATATCAGAATCACGAAATTTCTTCAGATCCCTATTCCTCTCATCAAATCCTTTCCATTGATATATCATATGACACATAAATCACTCAAATAAATTTTTAATTAGAGTAAATTTTCCCGATAAAAATAATCACTACTCCCGAACCCGATGTCTTAGGGACATATGGACAACATTTTAAAAGACCTCTAACTATGGTCTATCGTTCCCATATTAAATGGTGACCAGGCAAGCGGGGCCAGCGTTAGCATTATGAACGGGCATCGTACTTTATAAAAAACAAAATTCGATAATTAATAATAAAATTTTTTAATTTTACTAAATAAATATTTAAAAAACAGTAAAAGTATCTACATAATTGTTAAAGGCATCAATTGTTAATTTAAACACAAACTAAAAGACTAATGTTAAGTAGTATAGCAATGTATAGCTGTTAAATTTTAGCATTAAAACATGCAAGCAACAAGTAACAATAATAGGGTTCAAATATATATTTTAAATGTTGAAATTTAAATTTAATTTGAACAATTATTGAGACTAACAAGAAAGTAGTACAACTTGTAAAATCTACTGTATATACAAAAATATAATAAAAATAATTTTATCTGTTTTTAATGACTATTTTTGGTGAGTAGTTCTTCTAAAGGCATTTTTGGTAATAACCCTAGCCACAATGCTGGAAATAGTGGCCAGGGTCATTATTATAAATACTATACAAGTTATTTTATAGTAAGGTTATTATAAATGTTATACAAAGTGCTTTTTACTAGTGACCACTCTATCTATGGAAAGCAATATTAATATAGATATTCCGACAGCTATTAGATTAAATAGAAAATAAACATAATTTAAACTAGCTTTAAATTACATGATTGATTTTTTAACCCTAGAAGCTTAAACTGGGAGATTAGTCTCCCATTTGCAC